AGTCCCTGGCGGATTGTGGATGACTGCGGAGGTGCTTTCACAATGGGTGCAATCGGAGGTGGAATATTCCAGTCCATTAAAGGCTTCCGGAATGCCCCAGTGGTATGTTGCACATTTACATCAGGAACCTCTTTGAACCAGTGTCCTTCGCTCTCCCCGTTAACGCAGCTGGCTTGTTGGTGGCAGTGACGGGCTGTTTGACTGCGTGCGGCATCATGCGCCGGTCAAAACCTGCGTAGCCTGCAGTCTCCTGGCAGCTTTGGCATTATGGGAAGGGATACCAACTGGGAATTGCCCCCCCCTTCCCCCATCAAATGGGTCAATCATTGACCTAGCCGCCACAGTGTTAGGGTGTGAGTGGGTGGATGAGGGTGCGTGGGCTCAGACACAGCGGCTCTGTTTCCTGAGATGAGCTCAGCTACATCGAGCACAGGTCAGCCCCCGGGTCCTCATGGTTCAGAGGGTGGGTGTCGAAGGGTGAGGGAGTGGGCGCTGTTGGAGGGTCGGCGTCGAGGGATCGGGCGCGCTGTCGGAGGGTGAGGGAGTGGGGCGCGCCGTCGGAGGGTCGGCGCTGAGGGAGCGGGGCGCTGTCGGAGGGTGAGTGCTGACTATAGTGTCTCTGTGTGACACAGTCTCCCTCTGTATTTGGCCTTGACTCTGTCTCTCCTTTCACTGATTAGGGTGTCCGGCATAGACTGAGGGGGAGTGTGAACGCAGTGAGGGTCCGAGCTCCTCAGATAGGCGGTAGGTGTTGGAGTGATCTGCACGTCCTCAGGCTCCCTTGCATCGAGCCCGTTTCCCATCTGTGATCCCACAACTCCACCCCATCCCACCCCACCCCACTTCCTGAAAGAGCCATAACCCCTTTCACTGGGCCACAGTGTGGTTCGTACTATATGGCCATGAGTCCCTTTGTGGTCCCATTTCCCCTGATCTGCCTTGAGCAACGCGTGCTACAACACACCTGTTAGTAAAAACAGAAGTTGCTGGCAAAGCTCAGCAGGTCTGGCAATATCTGTGAAGGGAAAAACAGAGTTAATGTTTCGGTGCCGGTGACCCTTCCTCAGAACGCGCCTGTTAAGCCCTGACGTGGACCCTTCCATTCCCTTTGTCCCACCATTGCTGGTTTCACCCCCTGGCACCCAACCCAGGCCTCCTGCCTTGACCCCAACCTTTCTCCTGACCGTTTCACCGACTGACACTGACGGAGCCTTTCCTGGATTCCGTTCTAGGTAGCTTTGCTGTGTGGGGTGGCCTGTTCTCCACCATCGAC